GTAAGAGTGTGTGTTATTGAGTGTGTCAGTGACATTATGTGTGTATACTTAATAATAGTGTATGTTAATGAGTCGCATTGTGTGTATACTTAATAATAGTGTATGTTAGTGAGTCGCATTGTGTGTATACTTAATAATAGTGTATGTTAGTGAGTCGCATTGTGTGTATACTTAATAATAGTGTGTCAGTGACATTGTGTGTATACTTAATAATAGTGTGTCAGTGACATTGTGTGTATACTTAAGTGTGTGTTAGTGAGAGTGTGACGTGTGTATACTTCAGTAAGAGTGTGTGTTAGTGAGAGTGTGTAAGTGACAATGTGCGCTTACTGAAGAGTGTGTGAGTGACCATGCAACCCATTATATTCATAATACATTTTATAGATAAGGAAAAAAATGTTTTACTTACAGTGAACCTGTCAGACAGGTTCACTGTAACATTAAAGGGACGCTATAGTCACCCAGACCACTTCAGCACAATGAAGTGGTCTGGGTGCCAGGTCCCTCAGGTTTTAACCCTTCAGATGTAAACATAGCGGTTTTAGAGAAACTGCTATGTTTACATAGCAGGGTTAATTCAACCTCTAGTGGCTGTCTTCCTGACAGCCGCTAAAGGCGCTTCTGCGACGCTGGATGCGAAAATCGCATCCAGCATGCAGAACGTTAATAGGAAAGCATTGAGAAATGCTTTCCAATGGACTGTTTGAATGCGCACGCGGCTCCACTCGGGAGCTGTCGTCGGCAGGGGAAGGAGAGGTCACCAGTGTAGAAGGAGCCAGGCCCTGGATTACAGTAAGCCCTTCAGCCCAGAGGGAGGGGGACCCTTAGGATTGTATAGTGTCAGGAAAACAGGTTTGTTTTCCTGACACTATAGTGATCCTTTATTTAAATTAAACCCATTACTATAAATTAAATCCCACAATATTATAAATAAAATCCCACCAAATAAATGAAAACATTATCACAGCTATAAATTATATATTCAATGTAAAATGTATGTATTACAGACATCCCAACATGCAAAAATGCATTTCAGGGAGGTGGCTTCACAAGCTACAGCGCCACCCCTGCTCCACCAACACACACAGATACACGCACTGACACATACACACTGACACACAGATACAGACATTGAAACGTAAACTGGCACATACACTCAGATACACACACACACTGGCACTGAGATACACACACTCCGATACACACTGAAACACAGATACACACAGATAAACATACACTCATATACACGCACATATTGATATTGACATGCACACAAGTCATACTTTATAGATTTGCAGCCACCTTCCTGTTAGCTTACCTTTGTGTCTAGGAGGGTGGCTTACTGAGAGTTCTGTTGCTGGCTGAGGCTGATGGGAGTGAGCATGCTGCAGCAGCTCACTCCAGCCCTTTGCTCTGCCTCCATGCTGCTTCCTCCTCCCGGACGGCAGCTCTGTGTGAAGCAGGGAGAAAGTGATAGGCTGTCATCACTTGCTCCCTGCCAGCTGATTTCACAGGGGCCCGGCTCTTAATGGCTCAGCAAACCTCGGGGCCCTTGTTTAATGAGTTGTATGTGGGTGTTAGGGGGCGCAAATCAAACACAATATAATGGAAATCATGATTTCCGGTATATTGTGTATGATCTGCGGGTGCCAGGGAGCTGCATTCAACATGCGGGAGTCTCCCAGGACTACCGGGAGACTTGGGATGTCTGGTATTAGGCAGTATTTGTATGTATGTGTGTATGGATGTATGTATTAGGCAGTATGCGTGTATGGGTGTATGTATTAGGCAATATATGTGTATAGATGTATGTATTGTGCAATATGTGTGTACAGATGGATGTATTAGGCAATATGTGTGTATGGATGTAGGTATTAGGCAGTATGTGTGTATGGATGTAGGTATTAGGCAGTATGTGTGTATAGATGTATGTATTGGGTAGTATGTGTGTATGGATGTACAAGAAAAAGTATGTGAACCCTTTGGAATGATATGGATTTCTGCACAAATTGGTCATAAAATGTTATCTGATCATCTAAGTCACAACAATAGACAATCACAGTCTGCTTAAACTAATAACACACAAAGAATGAAATGTTGCCATGTTTTTATTGAACACACCATGTAAACATTCACAGTGCAGGTGGAAAAAGTATGTGAACCCTTGGATTTAATAACTGGTTGAACCTCCTTTGGCAGCAATAACTTCAACCAAACGTTTCCTGTAGTTGCAGATCAGACGTGCACAACGGTCAGGAGTAATTCTTGACCATTCCTCTTTACAGAACTGTTTCAGTTCAGCAATATTCTTGGGATGTCTGGTGTGAATCGCTTTCTTGAGGTCATGCCACAGCATCTCAATCTGGTTGAGGTCAGGACTCTGACTGGGCCACTTCAGAAGGCGTATTTTCTTCTGTTTAAGCCATTCTGTTGTTGATTTACTTCTATGCTTTGGGTCATTGTCCTGTTGCAACACCCATCTTCTGTTGAGCTTCAGCTGGTAGACAGATGGCCTTAAGTTCTCCTGCAAAATGTCTTGATAAACTTGGGAATTCATTTTTCCTTCGATTATAGCAATCCGTCCAGGCCCTGATGCAGCAAAGCAGCCCCACACCATGATGCCCCCACCCCATACTTCACAGTTGGGATGAGGTTTTGATGTTGGTGTGCTGTGCCTTTTTTTTTCGTCACACATAGTGTTGTGTGTTTCTTCCAAACAACTCAACTTTGGTTTCAACTGTCCACAGAATATTTTGCCAGTACTGCTGTGGAACATCCAGGTGCTCTTGTGCAAACTGTACAGCGATGTTTTGTTTAGACAGCAGTGGCTTCCTCTGTGGTATCCTCCCATGAAATCCATTCTTGTTTAGTGTTTTACGTATTGTAGATTCGCTAACAGGGATGTTAGCATTTGCCAGTGACTTTTGTAAGTCTTTAGCTGACACTCTAGGATTCTTCTTCACCTCATTGAGCAGTCTGCGCTGTGCTCTTGCAGTCATCTTTACAGGACGGCCACTCCTAGGGAGAGTAGCAGCAGTGCTGAACTTTCTCCATTTATAGACAATTTGTCTTACCGTGGACTGATGAACAGCAAGGCTTTTGGAGATACTTTTATAACCCTTTCCAGCTTTATGCAAGTCAACAATTCTTAATCGTAGGTCTTCTGAGAGCTCTTTTGTGCAAGGCATCATTCACATCAGGCAATGCTTCTTGTGAAAAGCAAACCCAGAACTGGTGTGTGTTTTTTATAGGGCAGGGCAGCTGTAACCAACACCTCCAATCTCATCTCATTGATTGGACTCCAGTTGGCTGACATCTCACTCCAATTAGCTCTTGGAGATGTCATTAGTCTAGGGGTTCACATACTTTTTACACCTGCACTGTGAATGTTTACATGGTGTGTTCAATAAAAACATGGCAACATTTCATTCTTTGTGTGTTATTAGTTTAAGCAGACTGTGATTGTCTATTGTTGTGACTTAGATGATGATCAGATCACATTTTATGACCAATTTGTGCAGAAATCTATATCATTCCAAAGGGTTCACATACTTTTTCTTGCAACTGTAAGTATTAATCAGTGTGCATGTATGGGTGTATGTATTAGGCAGTGTGCTTTTATGGGTCTATGTATTAGGCAATATGTGTGTATGTATTGGGCAATATGTGTGTATAGATGTATGTGTGTATGGATGTATGTATGTATGTATGTATGTATTAGGCAGTGTGCGTGTATGGGTGTATTTATTAGGCAATATGTGTGCAGGAGCAGAGCAAGTAGAGAGGAGCAGAGCAAGCAGAGAGGAGGAGAGCCAGTAGAGAGGAGGAGAGCCAGTAGAGAGGAGCGGAGCAAAGCAAGCAGAGAGGAGCAGAGCAGAGAGAAGCAGAGCAAGTAGAGAAAAGCAGCGCAAGTCGAGAGTAGCGGAGCAGAGCAAAAAAAGGGGTCAAAGCAAGCAGAGAGGAGCAAGAGCAGAGCACGCAGAGAGGAGCAAAAGCAGAGCATGCAAATAGAAGCACAACATGCAGAGAGGAGGCAGAGCAGAGCAAGCAGAGAGGAGGCAGAGCAGAGCAGAGCAAGCAGAGAGGAAGCAGAGCAAAGCAAGTAGAGAGGAGCAGAGCAAGAAGAGGGGTGTAGAGCAAGCAGAGAGGAGCAAGAGCAAAGGAGGCAGAGCAGAGCAAGCAGAAAGGAGCAGAACAAGCAGGCAGAGAGGAGCAGGTATTGTGGCCAGCGGCCTGTGCCACATCTAGGTTCTGATAAAAGTGAATTAATTGCCGTGATTACAGTGAGTGCTGTGAGTGTGACAAAAGTGACTTACCCCTGAATGCAGACTGTGAGTGGTATGACAGTGGCACTTACTCTTGACATTGCAGACAGTGGTGTGACAGTGTCACCTTACTTACCAGATATTGCAGACAGTTTGCAGTGCGGCCCCACATAAGGTGTGAAACCTTACCTACCTGAGAGTGCAATTTGCAGACACTCCAGACAGTGGCACTACTACTGTAAATAACGTGAACTTTAATTGCAGTTTGAGTAAATGATATGTATGTACCCAGGATTCCATATTGTGAGCATGAGAATGAAACAAGTAATTTTAGTTTGTGTTGGTATACTATTCACCAACTATAGGTCAGGGCACAAACTTTAGTGCCATCCATTTTTAGTTGTTCATAGAAGTAGAGCTAAATCTGCTCTTCTTACAGGAAAAAAATCATTTGAGTTAGCCTTTCAAAATACAAATTTGTGTCACTTTAAAATGCTTAAACTTTGAGCGTAGAGAATACACTGTTAAGTGACCATTTTCTATGTTTGTGAAATATTTATATAAAAGTGTTAATTCAAATTCCATTTAAATTGCATGTTGTAAATTATTTTTAAAAAAAACTATAGTTTTGTAACCATTCTGGCATCATGAGATATTGTTACCATGGCATATCTAAAGCACATAGACTTTAGCATATTAAACAAGGTGCTGGAAATCAGAATTTTGTTAACTTTTAAATGTTCTCTGTGTGTGTGTGTGTGTGTGTGTGTATGTGTGTATATATATATATATATACATACACACACACACACATGCATACACACACACATTTTGTAATTGCCCCCCTACTTTTGTCCCTGGCCCTCCATGTGCCCCCCCCCCCGGCTAAATATGAATGCTGGAGACGCCACTGTACTAAAGAGAGCTTGTACATTTTCAAAAAGTGGCAGCCTTGCAAGTTATGTTACCTCAGTCCTTAATTAAAATAAATAGAACTAAATGCAAAAAAAAAACCCAAAAAACACACACATACAAAGAAACAAAAACACCTAATTTCCCTAGAAACTGTACTCTTCCCATCATGTTTGATTTGAATGTTCATAATTTTTATTGATAAATTTATATAATTTGTGAAACACCCTAGACATAGATACTAGATAAGATATATAAAATATACATGAAAGATCTAGTTTCCTTGCAAACCTTCACTCAATAGCTGATTCATCACTTCTATTGACTGATCTTGCCAACGTCTGCACATACTGTGAAACACCTTGGGACAACCCTCCTGTATAACATCACGATAACACCATTTGTAAGTCAGAACGCAGTACTTTATTGAGCCATTAAATATACAAGACAAAACATATGACCCTGGACATAGGATAAAGGGAAAACAATTTATGATTATTTAATGAACTGGACAGATAAAAAAAAACCATGAAGATGAACCGTTAGGACATAATTCTAAGTTGTAAGACGGGATCACGAGAAGCTGTTAAAAACAGCCTATTTGACAAATTAAAAAAAATAAATGAAAAAAAATTGAATGCTGTATGATGTTTTCAGGATACTTGTAATGCTGAAGAGGTTGCATTGTTCAAGATTAACCCTGTATGCCCCACCAGAATAGAAGGTCGAAGTTCCATTATAGTGCCTTCCACTTGCAATAAGAGGTCATTAGGTAAAGGCTGGGGCTTGAATTTGGAGGATAGTCATGGGAATCTAGATGTCAGCGGGTGAGTAGGGAGGAGAAGGTGGGGTCTCTGTCATCTTTGGAATGGCACTACTTTTTAGCGGTTGTAGCCAAATTCATCAGCATCATCCGCACGGAAATCTCCGTAACGCCAAAGGTTCAACTGCAGAAAGAGGGAGAATAAAACAATTTAGCTTTGCCAAGAATTACCCTTTGTACATGTGTCTACATAACTCGTCATCTGTGGAACATCTAACATCTACATGTCTAACTTCTTGAGCCCACAGTTCATGTGTGCTTCAGTCTTCAAATATCTGCTCCTTTGTCTATGTCAAAGTGACTATGTAGCAAGGATACACCTGGAATGGCAGACACACAAATAGAAGCTGTGGAGCATTAAAATGTGCAGATTAGACATGTGACGTAATCACCCTACACTTTAACTACTGGGTAGTAGGGGGGTCAGATTCAATAATTTGAGATTGGTGGTAGCTATCACTGACAATGTAGAACCATTTACTGTTCCAGGTGACAGTACTATTGATAAGAAGACGACTTACCCGAGCAGCCTTTGCAGCTTCCTGAGCGCTCAGATATTCTGAGATCTAAAAACAAAACAAGTACATGATCAAAGAGTAAGCAAAACTAAACGGTCTGTTCCTATGTGATTATAGTCAATCCGCACACTTCCATAAATAAATTTGAGCCACAACAGCTCAAATATAAAATCGAAATAATAATTAAAAATTTTTTTTGAGTTAAACATATTAACCACTAATTAGTAGTGTTTTGTAAGGAGCAATCCACCTGAAGCATATGAAGTCTTACAGGTTCTTGGACGTAGAGGGCTTAATGTCTCTTTTACAGTCACTTTAATAGAAAATGTGGACCTAATTAAAATCTAGTTGTATTTAAATATGCTATATAAATTAGCTAAACACAACTAAAGTTGAACATATGTCTGGTAAACTGATAGAAATTAGTACAGGTGACTGTTTAAAATGTTAAATCCATTAACACATGTGCACTACAAGCTATGACAACTAAAGTTCACTCACAAAGCTATAATAAAAACAATAATCCTAACATTCACACAACATACAATAGACATTTTCAGCTTTCGGTTGCACTGGATATTCCATATGTTCAGAATCTATATCAAGGGCTTTGGCTGTCTGACAAGTGTCGAGTGATGACAACCACTGGCGTTCAAAAAAAAAAAAAAAAATGTAAAAATAAGTTTGATTCAAAAAAGAAAAAAACAAAAAACTTTTAAATAAAAAAATAGGAGCACTCACAGGACTTTTCGTCAAATCAATAATCTTTTATTTGCTTACAAAGGTTTATATACAGCAAGGCAGACATTTATAGAGTGCCATAAATAAATATATATATATATATATATATATATATATATATATATATATCTCCATCCACTGGTTGCATGTGGTTAGCCACCAGTACTTGAGACACAATGCTCTATTCTTGAAGCTGCGCTATATTAAGGAATAGCATGAAGTCAATTACACTGTATAATCAGTCTCACCAAAGCTGGCCACTGACACCTAGGTTACAAATGTCACATGGTGTCTGCTCTTTCTTAGAAACTAAACACTGACTAACAAGGAGCAGGACAGAGGCACACTAGCGCAGACATGTACAACACAGAGAGTACAGAAATAAACTTAGTTACACATTCCCAATACAGCAAACACCTGAGTGTTCCTAATCATGTCCACCTTCCTCATCAAATCAATACATCATGATGGTCTTCAGAGAATGATCCTAATTGTGTCATCCCTCCCCATTCAATCTATACTTCATAATGGCTTCACATTTATCTGGCAATCAGAGAAAAACTACTTCAAAAGCCATTAACACACTTTCCACAAACTAACATAATACACTAGATATGGGATGCAAGTGCCTGGTCATTTGGCATCACACACCTCTTGCATCCCACTCCTATCCCCTTCCGAAGCACCAAAACTTGTCTTTGCATTCACTTTTAAGTCATTCTGATAATATTCTTCCTTAAGGCACTGTAATGACTGCTAACTTTTTCCTAACCATTTGTTCTTGTTGCCTTACTTTGTTCCTGCAGATCCAACCATTTCTGAACATTATACAATGCCTTTTTAAAGGTCTGCATACCTTCTTCATAAGTGTCATTTACACACAGTAATTTATATAGATGATGTAGTAAGCTGGGAATGTAACTAGTGATGTGTTCACCTACCACTTTCTGGAACTGCTTCTCTTTGCGCACCTCCACCATCACCAGCCCCTCTTTCACCAATCCCAGACCCACATCGTCCTTTGAGTCTGCAAACTGTAAGGTCACATGTGGGCATCCTACTCCAGAATGTTCCACATTGAGCAGACACTGAGTGTTCTGTATGTCTCGCACTACATTGTCCACCACGTCGGCACGTGCCTCTTCCTGGGGAGACAAAACAGAGGTGTTTCAGGAAATGCAATTCAACAGAGGACTTTACTAGCCTCACATACCTATATATGAAGTATATACTTACATCTTGAGGCACCTGGATGAATGCAAATGCATACTCTATGGCCTGAGCAGGCAGTGTACGCACACTGAACGACTGAGGGATTGCACCCAAACGGGTTGAGGTCAGGACTTCTCTCTACAGAGACATGACAGGTATAGCACATTAATATCACACTCCGATATGATTGGAAACAAGCAGTTGTCTACTCATAAGCATACATATTTATTTCTATATTATTATTATTGGTATTTATAAGCGCCAACTAATCCCACAGCGCTTTACAATATTATGAAAAGGGGGGATGGGGGAGGATATTTACAATAAATTAGACAATTACTCAGTGACACAGGAACAATAGGTAGATAAGAGCTCTGCTCAAACGAGCACACAGTCTAGAGGAGATTATATATATATATATGTGTGTGTACACACACACACACACACACACACACACACACACACACACACACACACACACACACACACACACACACACACACAGTGAGAGGGAAAAGTATTTGATCCCCTGTTCATTTTGAACGTTTTTCCACTGACAAAGAAATGATCAGTCTAAAATGTTAATGGTAGGTGTATTTTAACAGTGAGAGACAGAATAACAAAAAAAATCCAGAAAAATGCATGTCAAAAAAGTCATACATTGATTTGCATGTCAATGAGTGAAAATAAGTATTTAAAGCCAGATCAATCAGCAAGATTTCTGGCTCCCAGGTATCTTTTATACAGGTAACGAGCTGAGATTAGGAGCACTCTCTTAAAGGGAGTGCTCCTAATCTCAGCTCGTTACCTGTATAAAAGACACCTATCCACAGAAGCAATCAATCCGATTCCAAACTCTCCACCATGGCCAAGACCAAAGAGCTGTCCGAGGATGTCAGGGACAAGATTGCAGACATACACAAGGCTGGAATGGGCTACAAGACCATCCCAAGCAGCTTGGTGAGAAGGTGAAAACAGTTGGTGCAATTATTTGCAAATGGAAGAAAAAAAAAATATCTGTCCGTCTCCCTCGGTCTGGTGCTTCATGCAAGATCTCACCTAGTGGAGTTTCAATGATGAGAACGGTGAGGAATCAGCCCAGATCTACACGGGAGGATCTTGTTAATGATCTCAAGGAAGCTGGGACCATAGTCACCAAGAAAACAATCAGTAACACACTACACTGCGAATGACAAATCCTGTTGCGCCCGCAAGGTCCCCTTGCTCAAGAAAGCACATGTACAGGCCCATCTAAAGTTTGCCAATGAACATCTGAATGATTCAGAGGAGAACTGAGTGAAAGTGTTTTGGCCAGATGAGACCAAAATCGAGCTCTTTCGCATCAACTCAACTAGCCGTGTTTGGAGGAGGAGGAATGCTGCCTGTGACCCAAAGAACACCATCCCCACCGTCAAACATGGAGGTGGAAATATTATGCTTTGGGGTGTTTTTCTAATAAGGGGACAGGACAACTACACCACATCATAGGGACAATGGACAGGGGCATGTACCGTCAAATCTTGGGTGAAAACCTCCTTCCCTCAGCCAGGGCACTGAAGATGGGTATTCCAGCATGACAATGACCCAAAACAAACAGCCAAGGCAACAAAGGAATGACTCAAGAAGA